CACGTTTCAGTTAACCTGAGCAGGCCCAGGCCTGTGCTGTGCTGCTCTGTGCTGCTTGTACAGCGCGGCCTTCAGGGGTATCCCTCAGCCACAGCATAAACTTAGCGGGTTGATTGTAAGAGAGGAGCCTGCAGGCAGCCCCCGCTTGGTACTGGTGGTGACGCCACTTCTGTGTCCTTGCCTTTGTCCAGAAGTGCAGCAAGAAGTTCTCACGTGAACATCCTTTTTTGTTTGACAGTAGCAGTGATGAATGGAGTTGTTTTCTTCTAAGAAAACCTTGTAATAACTCAAATGACCAAAATGGGGTAACCCTTGCATGGATGGGATCTGCAAGGGTTACCTTGCAGATAACCCTTGTTATCTAACTTGTTGCGCCATGATCATAGGCCTGTTTGATGCTGCACAACTTGGGGTTTCCAGCATCTGAAGGGATACAAAATTATCTATACTATCCTCTTTCTTTATAGCATTAGCTCTAATAAATAACATTTTAAATGAGACTTTACAGAGTCCGAGTGCCTTTCTCACTGGGATGATAACAAACCAGCACCTCCTGGTGCAAAACACATATGCTTTGGACTTTTGGTTTTGGTTCTGTCAGTAAGAATAATGTCCTACCATTAAGTGAAAAGGTCACTGAGTCAGAAGAGAACTTTTTCCAGACAGTTTGTATTTTAATTACAGTTTGCAAATTAACAACCTTCTTTTATAAAGGATAGTGTTAGAACTCTGAACACTAGTTTTTACTGAAAGCCTGCTTTGTATCTGAAGGTCTGCATTTTATGACTGGAGCTTTTAATTTAAACCATAGTACTGATAATTTGCAAGGTTCTTTGATACTGCTTTTGACAGCTGCTTCCACAAGAATGGTGTATAATCATACCCCATAACTGCACAGGTTACCAAAGGTCAGAGCCAAGAACATGTTTCTGTTTTGTAACTTCAAGTAAGGTGGCACATAAAATGCCCAGATTGTGAATGTGCGTCCTGGTTGCTTTTCTTCATGGCTTTTCAGCACTGAACAGTGATTTCATTGGCCTTCACAATGAAGTGTGACTGTAGGTCCTAAGTTGTACATAATGGTCACAGCTCATTAGAGAAGGTGTTAGATATTGATGAGCTTGGTGGACTGGAATAAGGTGTGTATATATACATTCAGCAAACAGAATTAGGTATAAGGACATTATCTATGAATCTGCATGCCGACTTTTTTGAGGGAGGGCAGCAGCAATTTTTAGGAATAATAGCATGTTAATTAAGAGACATGCTTCTCAAACCTAGTGCAAAGTAAGTAACTGCAGCACATATGGGAAGGGAGCTGTGGTTCATTCTTAAACAGGTTGATTGTTGCTGCAAATGTCAATCCTAACTACTTTGCTTCTGTAAAACACTCAAGAAGGGACATCTTTTTCCTTCTCCAGTACAACATTTTTGGATACCCTCACTTTCTCTGCCGCTGACCACCTGGCATGACTGCTCTCCTGGAAGTCTCCCCTCCCTCGAAACCTAGTGTCTGTTTTAAATGTTCATACTCCAGCTCAGCCAGGCAACATATCATTTATGCTAATTCTCATGCTTTCGCAGCAGAATTTTTCCCCACTGGGTGATTTTACCAATGAGCACATTAAGATGGCATAAAAATGTCTCTCTGAATCCTAAGCAACTGGCTAACAGGCTTGTGCCCTCTGCCTCCACCACCCTGTCATTTCTGATAGTCTGCGTGCGTGTGTGTATAGGGCTAGGGGGAACAGGGGAAAGACATACGAATGACTGTCAGAGAAATAAACTGAAACCAGGTACATTTTTTTTTTTCCACTTTAAGTCCATCTTTCATGCTTATCTTTATGATAAACCTCCACTTATCACTTATCCACTGATGCTTCTTACTACCGTCTTTACCCTGTCACAGTCTGCATGTACACTGCTGTTGTGGTTTAACCTCAGTCAGCAACTGAGCACCACGCAGCCGCTCGCTCACTCCCCCCGCCTCCCCCCGGTGGGATGGGGCAGAGAATTGGAAGAGCACAAGTGAGAAAAATTCGTGGGTTGAGATAAAAAGTGTAATAATTGAAATAAAATAATAATTAATAATAATACACAAAGCAAGTGATGCACAGTGCAATTGCTCACCACCCGCCGACCGATGCCCAGCCAGTCCCCGAGCAGCGGCCCCCCCGGCCAGCTTCCCCCAGTTTATGTACTGAGCATGACGTCACATGGTATGGAATGTTTCTTTGGCCAGTTTGGCTGTGCCCCCTCCCAGCTTCTGGTGCACCTCCAGCCTTCTCAGTCGGTAGAGCATGGGAAACTAAAAAGTCCTTGACTAGTGTAAGCACGACTTAGCAACAGCTAAAACATCAGTGTGTTATCAACTTTGTTCTCACCCTAAATCCAAAACACAGCACTGTACCAGCTACTAGGAAGGAAATTAACTCTATCCCTGCTGAAGCTAGGACAGCTGCCTTTCCTCCCTGTTCCATCCCATGCAGCATCTTCCACGCCTTCTGTGAATTTCCCCGCTGAGTGAGGAGATGTGTATGCTGCTCCTCCTCCAGAAAGGCATATCCAAGCAAGACCATGGAAGTTAAGGAGATGTACCCTGGCAGCAGTGGGAAGAGAGACAGTATGACAGATTGCACTGAGTTTTGTGCCCCCCTCTTTTAGAATGAGAAGGTCTGGGAGGGACTAAGGGCAGCATCTCGCCCACTAATAAATTCCCATTGCTCTAAGTGGTGGCTTTTCCATTGGGTGAGAGTTGCAGGAGGAGAGGAGTGGTGAAAGCATCTGTGCTGTTGATGAAGGCAGACTTTTTCATTAGTTCTGAAGGCTGCCTGCATGGGAAATAAGACCGCATTTGCAAATGGGAAGGGGCATGAGAAGTTTATCTTTTGAATGTATGATACCTCATAAAGCTGGTAGGAGACTGGTTCTGATGAAAGAGATTTGCATGAACTTTTCCTTGAGGGATGAAAATCACTTTAGGAAATGAAAATGATTCTTCTGTTGCTAAGGGCTGTACTGTCACTGGAACTGTGGTGGTTAAAGTGAGCCTCTAGACACCTTGTAGCTCATGATATCTTTGCATGTTTTAAACTTGACATAGCATTAAGTGTGGTAAGAGTCCTTTACATTATCTCTTGCTGAGATTCCAATTATGGCTAAGAAAAAGAAACCGGCTATGCTACTGTGTCTCTCAGTGCCTGAAGATAATTAAATTAAAACTTGCTACATTGTTTTGGTAAATAGGTAACTAATTTTTTTTGAAACTTGCAATGTTATTGTTCTAATACTTGTAGAGAAACTTAACTTTTATCTTGGAAAACTAGTCAGTTTGTGAGAGCATTATTTTGCAGTAATTTGCTTCCTATCTAGAAAGTATTTCATCTTTTCTGAATTGGTGTGCCACAGTCAGAGTTGTGTGGGGTGGGCTGTAAGTTCACGGCAGCCAAGGTGCGGTATTAGGTGTAGTGGCTGAAGGGGCTGGGCGCTAGCGGACAGAACAGTCCTGAAGGGGATGCAGCAAGGACCTGCCTGTCCAGTCCATAGCCAGTAATGTTGTCACGTCACTGGTGCAGAATAGAGCACAGCCTGGCTGCAGAAACCATTCTGCTTGGTGTTCAGGCCAGTCTCCAAGAAATACGGGAATTCCAGTATTTTTTACACATTGATTCAGCTACAAAATTTGGAGGTCTGTTACGTGAGGTACATGTATAGGTACAGACAGGCTCCTACCCTGACATAAAGTGCCTCAGCCTGTGCGTTCTCCGTATGAAGTGAGACTGGTTACCCGTAGTGCACCCTGGGCACAGACCTGGCTGTCAGCTCTCTGAAACACTTCCCTGGGACAGGGAACAGCTCTTCTAGAGAAGCCCGGGGTTAACAGAAATGTGAGTATTGTTCAGAAGAGTTGATGACTCTGAATACTTCTTTTTTTTTTTAAATTTTCCTCCAGTGGAACAGCTGCTGCTGCTACATTGTTTCTCCTAGTGTCCATTAAAGCATGACCGGCATAAAACAGGTCATGTTTTGTGCAGGTCACCACAGCTTACCTGGGTAATAACTTCATTGATGATAGGTTTTATAAAGAATTGTGCCACTCATCCTGGAGTAATTAACTACCTGGCCAATTAGAAATTAAGAGCTATGGTAAGCAGATGATTTACTGGAATCAGATTTTTTCTCTCCTGTTATCTGAAACGCGTACCTGCCTTTTGAAACACTGTCCCATGGTTGGTAAGTTCAGCTCAGGTTAGTCCTGTTCCACTGGGATAATGAGCAATTAACTGAATTACGATCAAGTCTTCCAAAGCATAAGCTTACATTGCATCCTGACTTGGAACCCAGGGACCTTTGCAGACTTCTCTCCCAGTTGTGTCGCAGGGAATTTATACCTAGAGTGTGACAGCAAGGCAAGAGCTGTCAAGAACTACTAGAAATACAGTTTGCATGGATGGGGTGCGCATGATTTTCCTCTTCCACAACCTAGTTTTGGAAGGGCAGTGATTAACTGGGAAAAGGAAGCCAACACTGAAGATCTAAAAGAACTCCCACTTAAGATGATGCATGTAACAAGAAGAGTTGGAGTTTTGAGTGTGATGGAATTGCAAAATATGTACCAGAGCTGAGGTAAAAGCTAGTATAATGAAGCAGTGTGTTCCTGTAGTGTTTTCTTTCTTTGCCAAGACAAAACCCCACAG